GTTACAAAGTTGCGATAAAGGAAAGAGTGGTACAATGTATAAACAAGGATTACTTAAAACCGATACCAGGAGTGGGGGAGGGGTAAAAGAAAAGTTATATAACATTTTATTATTTAATAATTTACTAAAATACATAAGTTTGTCCAACTCCATGTGATACGAGCAAAGCAATAATAACAAACAATGCACACACCCCCCCAGGGTTTGACTGGACTCCACACAAAGTTCACTAAATATGTTCTAAACTTTTTGAATTCCCGCATTCCTATGATGTATCCTTGGGAGGCAAAAATGTATAATAATAAGGTTATTACGAGGATACCGAAAAGTATGCACATAGACAGTACAGTGGGAGTATCACCGCTGAGCAGTAGAGGATGATGCGACGACTTTCTGTCTGAGTAACTGGACCCCACACAAAGAAATCGCTTAATCTGTTCTCAGGAGGAAAAGATGTATAATAATAAGGTCAGTCAATAACTCCTGCGGTACTGTCTTCTTGCTTACTTTGCAGTATTCTCGTTATAACCTCATATTCTTCATATGAGTATGTTCTATATGTAGCCAACTTTTAATATAATGTAATGTATATATACTGATGAAGTTGTGCTTACCATTATTTATGTCTTTCTTGTTTTTCATCTTCAAATCTTTGGCTTTCCCATGCACTTGATTGTGCTTGTTTTCTTGTACATACACATCATCTATATCCAAGGAAGCTGCAGCAGGCTTTGGTCGCTTACGCTTTGAACTTGTACTTGGTTCCTTGTTTGAATACGTACCTGCTGGACAAAATTATTGATTTATACTTTCTTTATCTTTATTTAGTGTAAAAACCAAATTATATATAATGCAGATTGATAGCTAGGTATAAGCATACATTCTAATTACCACTGAAATGGCAGGCAGTGGCAATGTTTGAACAAGATCCAGTACATTTTTATGAACATAATCATCATTGTGACTCCCATGTCATTATTGTAATAAGCATGGGTTAAAATTAAAAATTAAAGTTGCTATTGGACAGGTTGGTGAATAGAAGGTCCTGTACTGTCCCATATGATTATGTACTCGTCCTTAGCAAGATAAATTAAGACATATTATTCACAATACAATATTTTTGGCTTATCATCATCATTTCATTATAGTCATACAAATTCTGAAAGCAATTTTCTGAATATCAGCAACTTCGGAGTATCCCATTTGGTCAGTTCGTAAAACTTGATATGTTTATTCATCTGTCTAAGGGGACAGGCGATTTAAACATTTACCTGTCATTAGAATCTGCCTGTCTGGGACAAGCCTTAATTTTGATCTCTGATTAAGTATTAATTTCCTTTTAGAAATGCTTTAAGTAAATAATTACCTTTTGGTGGGGAGGTCCTCATAATTTCACTGGTAACCATACATGGGTTATCTGCACCTGAATAACTGCAAAAAGATTAATTATCTTATTTTCATGAATCTTGGTGCATAAATGTCTAAGACAATGCAACGACCCAGTTAATTTTCAGTTTAAATGTATCAATAATTATTACCTAATTTGCATATTATTAAAATTTTGGCTTTTCCACCAACTTATTAAGAATTGTATCACATTTTATGGAAGCTTAAAGTATATAGGTGTCTTGGAACAGTGCACAGACATGATTAGATTTAGGTTGAAATTCATGCATATAAATGTGGATCATCGTGATTATATCCATGGAATTGCTAGAAGTAAAAAATAAACGCAAGGAATATATAACTCGTGTATGTGCATTCTTTCATCATTATCATATATATGTGTGTTTTGTTAGGGACGATGTCAAAAGATCGATGTCGGATAAAAAACTTATTTCCTTTAGTTTGGGGGTGGGGGGTTTTGACCTCAAAAAGTTTCCATCCTACAAAAACGATTTTATTTTTTAATGAAGTCAAAACAATCTTGGAGTATTTGTAGTTTTTTTTTTCTATCCAATCATGGACAGAAATAACTGAAAAGCGAAAAAAAACAGAAAAATGGTTTGGTTCGAGTGTAAATCTGCGTCAAATGAGGTGCATTTGTAAAATCTTTTTACACCCACCCGACAACCAACTGCTATGCTATACTACTGTCCGATTATCAATTTGTATTTAATAGTGAATGTAGTCTGACGCCATGATCAATATTTATCAATTAAGTTTCAGTAGGGGGGGGGGGTTTGGAAAAAAACTAAAGGAATTAAGTTTTTTATCCGACATTGATCTTTTGACGTCGTCCCTTAAGGAATGGTAATCAAGCAGCATCAGTTACATGCGTATACATACCTACAAACCATTTCTGCATCACCTGGGTAGAATAAATATCAACATATTAATAATACAAAAAAATACAATTTGATGACAGTCTTGTATTTGTTTTTGAGAAAATGTACTCCAGCATGTTGTGTGTCTCAATATTTATACATCGTTTGATATACTAAATACAATGGTCAACATTACAACCAGTTTAATTAATTAAAAATAAAGCTGTCAAACTCACTATTATTTTGCGGTTTTATTCTTGATATTAAAATAAGAAGAACAATATCGATGATGATTAAGACTCCACAGGTGATAAGCATTCCAGTTATTGTCATTTCATATTTTGGAGGTGGAACTGAAAAAGTAATTGTGATTGATTAACTGCTATCTCAAACTAATGTGGTGTTAAATATTAGACAATTAATCAATATTATATTGTATATGAAAATATACTTGGTACTTTGACTTGCCATGCAAATGGACAAAAATAATCTTGTTTGTTTAGTATCGGTAGGGGTGTACGTAGTATTCCACAGGATACCTGCATATGTGCATTAAAATAGTTAATTGGTATTAGAACAGATAACCTGTATGTTTTTGACAGTTATGATGTGCTTGACCAACTAGTATTTTCACTAGTGATATGCAAATTAGTACTGTATGTTATTAGCAAATGATATTCAAATCACATGGGCCAAAACTCTGGATGCATAGGCTTGATAAATTTGAAGTACATATTTATTTGCTGATGTTGATTTTAAAATATATTTAAAAAAGGTACAGTCATGCAATGTCATACACTACATCACATTTAAAATAAATTTTATACCACACAAATGTCAGGCTGAAGCCGCAGGGTTCTATCATTTTCTCTTTAATGTGGCACTCAAAATTAACAGATACAGCTCAACCACTGTGTTATTTAACCAAAAAAAAAATTAAAATTGTTTACAGCCATTGTAAATCAAATGAAATCACTATGTCTAATATTTTCTATATCAAAATCAATGTTTGATATATTCTTTCCACCCCCATGTTACATACAAATACCTTTAATTTTCTGTACATCTATATATTCCCTCAAACAATGATCACCATTCAATGTACAGTAAGTCACTCTATATTCAGCATTTGCATCATCAACTGTGTATTCCAGCTGATCAACAGTGTTAGGTTCACAGTCCTTTATCACACTCCAACTGTTGTCTTGGTTCTTTTTCTCTATCTTCACACATTTATATGTAGTATTTTCATGCTGTGTCCATGTAATTTTACCAGTCTCTAGATTATATTCAACTGTTGGTTTACCTATGATGGTTTTAAAAAAGTAAAATATGCACAGTTGTGATTAAATAACTTGATTACCCTTATATAACCAGACCTCAGTACCATTTATTTAAAGGGTGGTGGTTGTCGTGCTGCGTCCTGTTTGATATTGGACTCAAAGCAACTTACACAACATATGTAAAATACATTGTTGACAAGAAATTTGAACATGCTTTGCAG